GATCCATGGCTCCATGCTGCAACGTTGTTCCTGCCGCCATCTTGCTGAGTGTCCAAGAGCCTGCCAACCCTGGGGGACTTGCTGCGGTCACCCCTTAGAACCCCCGGATGCCTGACCGGCCATCTGGTTGGGCTGATATGATTTCCTTTTCCCTACTATATGAATTCATCCCCTATGATCCCCTTGTATGCCTCCCCCTTCTCCATATCCCTATATGAAATATGAAGAAATATCACCCTTTCGTGAACCCAGCACCTCATGGCTTCAGGAAGCCTTCACTCACTTCCTGAGCCAACTAAACCCTAGACAAAGGGACTCACCAGGAACTCTTTGCATGGAAAATAGAACAAAGGCTTTTATCTTCTCAGATCTCGGAGTAGCTAGGCTAGCCCATCTGAGAGATATGGCCCTCGGACAATTCAATCACCTCTCACAAAAGGTGACATCTTGTCTGCGAAGGATTTAGGTATCACCATAGCCTCTTTCTTTGTCTCCATTTCCCCCAGCTGATGCCAGTTTCAGACACCAACGACCAATCCCATATCCAGGACCCAAGGACAACAAATGGACTGACTTCCTAATCAGTCAAGGAAATATTTCCAGGAAAGCTGGCTTGACGGCTTAGGAAAAGCTATCGCTAGCAATTATACAAACATTAGTCATTTAATCCATTTATCTTTTCCTCCTGGTTCATTGTTTCCTGCCCGGACCACCTCCTTCCTTCCCATTGGCCAAGAGGTTGAAGCGGCGCTGGCTCCCTGATTGGCTGAGGCACAGCTAAGCCAGCTACACCTCAGCCAGCTGATTACTCCAACCAATCAGCGTGAATCTGGCGAGGGGGGCGGGAGTGGGAAATTTGAAAGCTCTGTATTTCCTATAAAAACTGTAATGTTTCCCTTTGCAAAACATGTCAGCTTTGGCAAATGATTGCAGTTTGACATCCGCTCCAGCTGGAACGAAATAAACAACTCAGTGGCATTTTCTTCAACTTTGGTGTGATTTATTTGGGAAATTTCAGGGAAAATTCTGATCTGCGTGCATCTTTCTTGCCAGAGTAAACAGATCCTCTTTGGTGGGTCCAGTTGTCTCTGTCTCCAAGGCAAGGCCTTCCAAATTCTTGCTCGATATCATACCTATAGGTAATGGGTTTCATAGTGTAGGCTAAGGACCCCAGCTTCTCAGATTCTTTGTGCAAGGTTCTTTGCTACATTGCTTTAAAGATACATAACTCCCTCCATGCTCTTCAGCCCAGACTGGTTTGGGAGAGCAGCCAACAGTTCAATATACACAGGGCCCTGGCAATTGAATGACATACTCCAGATTTTAAGCCAGTCCCTCTATGGGTAGAGGGCTAAAAGAGCTGCAGAGGAACTCAGTAGCTGATGCTAAAGATGGTAACATTGCTCCTCTGTTGTGTGTGTGAAAGGCTTGCCTAATGTTTTATTTATCAGACCTGTGGAAAGATCAATTCTTTACCTCTAGCAGGAGTATTAGTAATAGTCAAAAACAATGCAATGAACTTTTAATTCCCTACCTTATGATACATGTGTTACTCCATAAGATTCCACAGATGCTTTAAAATGTTGCAATGTATTAAAACAATTACTCCTTTGGTAATGAATAGCTGGAAATGAAGTAGGCTGCAATGCTTGGGCAGGGCAGTAATCATTATTTCCCCCATTTTTTGTGGAAAGTCTGGTTTTGCCCATACCTGCTATAACTGGAGTTCTTCCACTGAGGAGAGGGTTGGGCCTAATGACCAATGGGTTCCCCTTCAACAATATAACTCTATGACTCGACTTCTTTAACAGAAAATTTGCTTTAAAGGGAAGAAATAACACGAGAAGTGGGCTATTCCTGCACTACAAAAAAGAAGAGAAGTTCAACATATTTCAGCAAACTTTTTACTGAAAACTCGCAACATGCTCATGTGAAATGAATTGATGTGAGTTTTGCATAAGCAAGCAAAAACACCTTGAAACTTCTTGGGTCCATTTGAATGTTTAATCCGGAAGGTATCCAGGACCGATTTTTTTTCTGTCACCAGCCCATACATATCTTATGATTTCCATCTGGATGGCCAGACTTATAGATGTATGCTGCTTTCACATACTGGGGGCAACTGTTGTGTACTTTGTCTATTGTAATCAGACACACACAGGGCTAAAATAGAATTTTACATTTTCCCAGGTCAAGGTTTCTTTTTTTACAATTCTCACTGCAGACAAATTGCTGCAATCCAGCCCTCCTTCCCCATCCTAATAAAACTGATGCTGCAAATAAACATGCTGTTAGAGTACTCCCCCCCCCCCCCCTGGTGGCAAAGTGGGTTAAAGCGCTGAGCTGCTGAGCTTGTTGACCGAAAGGTCGCAGGTTCAAATCCGGGGAGCGGCGTGAGCTTCCGCTGTCAGCCCTAGCTTCTGCCAACCTAGCAGTTCGAAAACATGCAAATGTGAGTAGATCAATAGATACCGCTCCGGCGGGAAGGTAACGCGCTCCATGCAGTCATGCCAGCCACATGACCTTGGAGGTGTCTATGGACAACACTGGCTCTTTGGCTTAGAAATGGAGATGAGCACCACACTCCAGAGTTAGACATGACTGGACTTAATGTCAGGGGACAACCTTTACTTTACCTTTTAGAGTACAAAGAGGGAAAAAAGGGCTGGCGGGCAAAAAAGATTTGGAAAAAGGAGCTTTTTTTATCTGAACTTTGTTACCTAAATTGTGGCTCTGTGTTTAACAAATAATGATCACAATTGAAGCATTTTAAATAGAGGACTGTTGTTTGATATTATTCAAAGGGATTTTATAACATCTTTGAGACTGAGAGGAAGACATTGGTAGCACAAGATTTCATTTACTTAATTTGCTTTCTTAGATGCATGGAGAAAGATTATCTTTGTCTGTATCCAGGTAAGTGTTTTAAACAGGTTAATGGGTTGCCACTCCATCTGGCTGGATTTGGTACTCATCATCAGGGTTATTTATTTATTGTGCCAGAAGTGAATTGAGGATACAGTTATAATCTATTTAAACACAAAGTTAAAAACTTGGCATTATACTAAATGTTATTTGACCAAAACCTGGCCACTTGGGAGTGCCTCTGGTGTCACTGTGAGAAGGTCCTCATTGTGCACGTGGCAGGGCTGAGGTCGCATTATAGTACGAGTGGTCTGTAGTTTGCTCTTCTTCACACTCGCATGGCGTGGACTCCACTTTGTAGCCCCATTTCTGAAGGTTGGCTCTGCACCTCGTGGTGCCAGAACGTAGTCTGTTCTGCCTTCCAAGTTGCCCAGCCTTCTGTGTGCCCAGGAGGGAGTCTCTCATCTGGTATTAGCTACTGATTGAGGTTCCGGGTTTTAGCTTGCCACTTTTGGAGTCTCCCTTGTTGAGTTGTTCCTGCGAGTATCTCTTTAGATCTTAGAAAGCTGATTTAAGATGTTGGCTTGCTGGCTGATATCTGAACAGAGGATGGGTCGGAGATCATAGGGGTAGAATTAAAAGATAATAGTTAGCCTGGAATTTCAGTGTGCAAAGAGCTCTTGCAGTAGCTATAAGATTAGCTGAGAAAAAGATGTTGGTAGCATAAGCTTTTGTCGACTTTAGTCTACTCTCTTAGTCCATGTCTGCTGAAAACCTAGACTCCTTTGTGCACCAATATTCTAGGAGAAAAGAATCATAGAATCATAGAGTTGGAAGAGACCTCATGGGCCATCCGGTCCAACCCTGCCAAGAAGCAGGAATATTGCATTCAACGCACCCCTGGCAGATGGCCATCCAGCCTCTGTTTAAAAGCTTCCAAAGAAGGAGCCTCCACCACACTCCGGGCAGAGAGTTCCACTGCTGAACAGCTCTCACAGTCAGGAAGTTCTTCCTCAAGTTCAGATGGAATCTCCTCTCTTGTAGTTTGAAGCCATTGTTCCATGCGTCCTAGTCTCCAGGAAGCAGAAAACAAGCTTGCTCCCTCCTCCCTGTGGCTTCCTCTCACATATTTATACATGGCTATCATATCTCCTCTCAGCCTTCTCTTCTTCAGGCTAAACATGCCCAGCTCCTTAAGCCATCATAGGGCTTGTTCTCCAGACCCTTGATCATTTTAGTCGCCCTCCTCTGGACACATTCCAGCTTGTCAATATCTCTCTTGAATTGTGGTGCCCAGAATTGGACACAATATTCCAGGTGTGGTCTAACCAAAGTGGAATAGAGGGGTAGCATTACTTCCCTAGATCTAGACACTATGCTCCTATTGATGCAGGCCAAAATCCCATTGGCTTTTTTTGCCGCCACATCACATTGTTGGCTCATGTTTAACTTGTCCACGAGGACTCCAAGATCTTTTTCACACGTACTGCTCTCGAGCCAGGCATTGTCCCCCATTCTGTATCTTTGCATTTCGTTTTTCTGCCAATGCAATCTGAGCCCTGCTACATGCACAATGGAGGACCTCCTTGCGGCAACACCAGAAGCACTCCAAGTGGCCAGATACTGGTCAAACGACATTTAATCAACTACCAAGCTTGCAAACTCTGTGATTTTGTATGTTTGTTCTGTCAAAAATGTAATACAACTGTTCGGTTGCCTGACACGATAAATAAACTCTCACAATTCCTAACAGCTTCAAAATACAAGAAAGGAGACTCCACCTGAACATTAGGAAGAACCTCCTGACTGTGAGAGCAGTTCAGCAGTGGAACTCTCTGCCGCGGAGTGTGGTGGAGGCTCCTTCTTTGGAAGCTTTTAAACAGAGCCTGGATGGCCATCTGTTGGGGGTGCTTTGAATGCGATTTTCCTGCTTCTTGGCAGGGGGTGTGACTGGATGGCCCACGAGGTCTCTTCCAATTCTATGATTCTATGGAGGGCCCAAGTTTGCCCATGCCTCGCCTAGAGACTAACCCAGCGCTGAGTGTGACTTCTGTGCTGCCTGTCTCTCCCTCTCACACATCTGGCTGTGTGTGTGTGTGTGTGTTTGCACAGCTGCCCAGCGGCAGGGGCAAGGGAGCGTCTTTCTGCACATGCTCCGGGAAGGCGAGGGGAACCCGGCTGTTCCCGAGGCGCGCCTCTGCTCGCCTGGCTTCGCCTTTGACTGCTTTGCTTTTGCCCGGGACTGACTTACTTCCCTGTTGCAGCACGCTCTCCGCCGCCGCCACCCCCGCAAAGATGGCTGCGAAAGGCTTGCATTTCCACCTGAAGCTGGACGAGGCGGAGGTGGAGAGGTCCCGAGCGGAGGGCCACTGGGAGAGGCAGCTGGCCGCCGTGGGGCAGATGCGGGCCCGGGCCACCAGCCCCCGACACCACCACAAAGGGGCCAAAGGAGGGCGAGAAGGCCAGGCGCACAAGTCCGGTAAGGCTCCCTCCTCCCTCCCTCCCTCCTCCCCACCTCCCCTCCCAGTCTCAGGTCTTTGTTGAGCCAGGTCTCGAGATCTGAAAAGATGTCCCAGCCAGGAGGGTGACAAGATAGTTTCCTGCTGCTTTCAGCAATGGGTCCAAATGGCAGGAAAAGTGATTCCACCTCAACATTAGGAAGAACTTATGGAATACTGTGCCCAATTCTGGGCACCACAACTGAAGGGAGATGTTGACATGCCGGAATGTCTGGAGAACAAGCCCTATGAGGAGCGGCTTAAAGAGCTGGGCATGTTTAGCCTGCAGAAGAGAAGGCTGAGAGGAGACGTGATGAGGGCCATGTAGAAATATGTGAGGGGAAGTCATAGGGAGGGGGGAGTAAGCTTGTTTTCTGCTGCCCTAGAGAGTAGGACGTGGAACAATGGCTTCAAATTGCAAGAAAGGAGATTCCGCCTGAACATGAGGAAGAACTTCCTGACTGTGATGGCTGTTCAGCAGTGGAACTCTCTGCCAAGGAGTGTGGTGGAGGCTTCTCCTTTGGAGGCTTTTAAGCAGAGGCTGGATGGCCATCTGTTGGGGGTGCTTTGAACCTGATTTTCCTGCTTCTTGGCAGGGGGTTGGACTGGATGGCCCATGAGGTCGCTTTCTGGCTGTCAGAGCTTGATCGGGGATGGAATAGGCTACCAGGGAATGTTGTGGAGTTTCTTCTTTTGGAGGTTTGGAAGCAGAAGCTGGATGGCCATCTGTTGAGAGGGCTTTGATTGTGTGCATGACAGAATGGGGTTGGACTAGGGACCAGTCTGAGTCTATAATTCTATGAGTTCTGTCATTTCTTTCCTCCTCCTGTCTCTTTTCTGCTTGGAGCAAATTATTCTTGGTTGCCCGGTGTGACATTAAGGCTAATGCAGGCATGGGCAAACTTGGGCCCTCCAGGTGTTTTGGACTTCAACTCCTACAATTCCTAACAGCCTCAGGCCCTTTCCAGCTTAAGCAGCTGAGGAAAAGGAAAGGGCCTGAGTCTGTTAGGAATTATGGGAATTGAAGTCCAAAACACCTGGAGGGCCCAAGTTTGCTCATACCTGGGCTAATGTATTCACACATTACCTTCCAACTCATATCTGTAGGCTCTGTAGCCAGGAAATCACCCTGAGAATGTTGCCTCTAGCATCCACAGACTCACAGAATCCTAGAGTGGGAAGAGACCACAAGGGTCAACCAGTACAAATACTCCCCCCAAATGCAGGAATACACAACCTTCTTCTTCTTCTTCGGTGATCCCTCGTAGCCTGAGGATGATGATCCTCCAAGTGTAGTGTCTTGGCGATGGGTCCATAGGTGGCTGTGGAGCCCAATTCTTGTTCCACATGTTCTCCCGCAGTGAGGATGTAGGTTTTCAGGTGGAAGGCAATCCCGGTCAGGGTTGGTTTGACGCGCCTTTCTCTGGGCATGTTTCTCCCTTTTGCCCTCCATTCATGTCTCTTCAAATTCTGCAGCACTGCTGGTCGCAGCTGACCTCCAGTTAGAGTGCTTCCCAGTTCTCAGTGTTTATACTGGGCTTCCCAGGACCAGGGCTTCCCAGTTCTCAGACTCTATGCCACAGTTTTAATGGTTAGCTTTAAGCCTATCTTTAAATCTCTTTTCCTGTCCACCAACATTCCGTTTTCCATTCTTCAGTTGGGAGTATAGTAACTGCTTTGGGAGACAGTAATAGGGCATTCGGACAATGTGGCCAGTCCAGTGGAGTTGATGGCTTAGGAACATTGCTTCAGTGCTGGTGGTGTTTGCTTCTTCCAGCACACTGACCTTTGTCCGCCTGTCTTCCCAAGAGATTTGCAGGATTTTTCAGAGGCAACACGAACTTGACCAAGATACTTAGGCAGGAAGTCCTACAAACAGCCCTTCCCCTGGCAGTGAATGAACAAATTCAACAGCGTGGGACAGCAAAAATCTGCCGCCTGAGTCAGATGCCTAATTATGTCTAATGGTAAGAGGGAAGAAGGTCTTTTTAGGTTCATCAACACTGCAGAATTTATATAGTTTGACCCCATTTTAACTACCATGGCTCAATACTATGGCATCTTGGATGTTGAAGTTTTCCAAGATCTTTAGCCTTCTCTGCCAAAGATTGCTGGTGCATCACCAAACTACACATCCCAGAATTCCATAGCAATTAAAGTGATGCCAAACTATATTAATTTTGTAGTGTAGTGTAGAGAGGTATCCCCCACTTTTTTCTTATCTGTTGCTTGCTGGCTCCACAGTAGAGCTAAGTGATAACCTCTCTTCCCTCCTCTGATAAAGTTTATCATCGTTCTGCTGTTGTTACTGTTATGCTTTCAAGTGGAGACCTTAAAGCAAACACCTCATGGCATTTTATTGGCAAGATGGGTTTTTTGGGGGGGGGGGGGGTTGCCATTGCCTTCCTCCATGGCTGAGAGTGTGTGGCTTGCTAAATTCACTAGCACTCAAAACAAAAGCAATTTTTGAGATACTGTTTTGTTGCTGGGACTCCTTCCACACAGCTGAATAATACCCCACAATAGCTGCTTTGAAATGGAATATATGGCAGTCTGGATGCAGATAACCCAGTTCAAAGTAGACGTTGTGGGATTTTCTGCCTTGATATTCTGGGTTATCTAGGGGTACTTTGATGATAGGACATGAGTAGAGATCAGAACTAAATAAAATAAACAGGAGGTCACTTCCCCTGGAGACAACTCTGGAGAAAATGGGTTCGAATCCCCACTCAAGCTCAGAGTATGTGACTTGCCCATGGTGAGTTTCCATGGCTGAGCAGAGAATTGAACTATGGTGTGGATAATAATTTGTGGCAAGTTGTTGGTGGTATGGGGATATCACCTTGTCTGTCTCCTGAGGAATCTGTATAACGACCAAGTAGCAACAGTAAGAACTGACCATGGAACAACAGACTGGTTCAAGATTGGGAAAGGAGTATGACAGGGCTGGATACTCTCACCCTACCTATTCAACTTGTATGCAGAAAACATCATTTGATGTGCGGGGCTTGATTAATCCAAGGCTGGAATTAAAATTGTTGGAAGAAACAAACAACTTTAGATATGCAGATGATACCACTTTGATGGCTGAAGGTGAGGAGGAGCTGAGGAGCCGTCTAACCAAGGTGAAAGAAGAAAGTGCAAAAGCTGGGATGCAGTTAAACATAAAAAAAAACCCAAGATGGCAACAAGGCTGATTGGTTATTGACAAATAGAGGGAGAAAACGTGGAGTCAGTGACAGACTTTGTATTTCTAGGTGCAAAAATTACTGCAGACACGGACTGCAGCTAGGTAATCAGAAGATGTTTACTTATTGGGAGGAAAGCAATGACCAATCTCGATAAAATAGTGAAGAATAGAGACATCATACTGGCAACGAATATCCGCATAGTTAAAGCAATGGTATTCCTCGTCGTAACCTATGGATGTGATAGCTGGACCATAAGGAAGGCCAAGCGAAGGAAGATAGATGCTTTTGAACAGTGGTATTGGTGGAAATTCTGAGAGTTCCTTGGACCACGAGAAGATCAAATCAGTCCATACTCCAGGAAATAAAGCCCAACTGCTCACTGGAGGGAAGGATATTAGAGGCCACATAATGAGAAGAAAGGAAAGTTTGGAGAAGGTGACAATGATGGGGAAAATGGAAAGAAAAGGGAAGAGGGGCTGGCAAAGGGCAAGATGGATGGATGGTACCCTTGAAGTAACTGACTTGACCTTGATGGAGCTGCGGGTGGCAAAGGCCGACAGAGTTCTGGCATGGGCTGGTCCATGCGGTCACGAGGAGTCATAAGCGACTGAACAAATAAACAACAAAAACTTTCCCAAACCCTCTCTTAGATGAATTTCCATAGGTGATCAGGTTCAAATCCTCACTTGACAAAGGAAATCCATTCTCAGAGAGGGCAATTCACACTCTGGGCCCTTCCACACTGCCCCTATAGCCCAGGATCTGATCCCAGATTATCTGCTTATCCCAGAATAGCTGGCAGTGGAGACTCATATATTCTAGTTTAAAGCAGATTATCTGGGATCAGATCCTGGGATATAGGGCAGTGTGGAAGGACCCTCTCTCAGTCTCAAAGAAATGTAAAGCAAGCCCCCTTAGAACAAATCTTATCAAGAAAATCCTGTGATAGTTTTTCCTTTGGGTAGACATAAGTTGGGAATGACTTGAAGACACACATCAACACCTCTTCCAAGGGAAGCTGGACTAGATGACCATATTTTAAAGTCTGAAAAATATCTAAAGATGACCCTCACCCATAAAATGTCATACAGGATCTAAAAAGACCTACTGTAATTAGTATAACAAAAATTATCAATTGGTGGTTTGAGCATTGGACTGTGGTTGTAGAGACCAAGGATTTTCCACTAGGTCATGGAAATCCACTGGGCAACCTTAGGTGAGTCACATACTCCCAGCCTCAGAAAATTCTATGACTGGGTCATTTTAGCAGTGCCATAAATTGGAAATGACTAGAAGGCACTCAACAATTTAGCATCTTCCTTTAGAGGTTTTTAAATTTAGCATCCTTCATTTGAGGTTTTTAAATAGAGACTGCATGGGCACTGCACAGAGTCATGAATTCCTTAATGGCAGTTGAGTTGACTAGATAACTTTCAGGTTCCTTTTACAACTCCATGATTCCAGCTGAAATACCTGTGTGTATTTCCATTCCCCATGACTTTATAATGTTATGAAGGAGATTTGATCAACACTGCTGCTTAGAGGAAATCCTGAGCTTTGTAGTTTGATGAGACATCAACATCCTTTGAAAAAAAAAGTTAAAGATCTTGCAAAACTCGGACTCCTAGGATTCCATTCCATTACATGGCTTTTGAAATGTTGTCAAACTGCATTTAATGCTATAGTGTTGAGGCGCCCTCAGACAGTAGATATTAAGTGATTTAATTTGTTGGGATAGTAGTTTTACAAACACTCTGCAAGTGGGACCTACAATATTTGGTACAGCATTG